ACAGAACAATCTCCTTTGTCAAAATATCCAGAAGCTTTTTGAAATCAGAGATAGTTGTTATAATCTAAGAGGTATTAATCAATACAAAAAATCCAGAACAAGAACAAACATCAAGCAAAGGTGTGTATCAGTAATAGGAGTTAATCTGTGGAATAAGCTTGAGATGGATCTGAAAATGAGTAAATCTTTGGACGAGTTCAAAAACAAATTCAAAAGATTAGTACAAAAAAACTACATAAAACAAAGTTAAGAAGATAAATTTTATATACTGGTACTTATAAAATATAGTAATACTATGGTTTGTTCTTGTTCTGGATTTTGAACAACTTATTGAATGTATTCAAGAAATGCAGTATATATAATGAATATGAGTCATTTGATATAAAAAGTAGAAAGAACAATTATACATATATACAAACCGAAAGGTGTATCAATAGATAAGTATAGTACACAAAAGGGTAAAAGTATTTGATGAAATTTAGATTTATTCGTTTTCTTTGGTATTGGAAATGATCAATATACATTATTGCACAACAAGGGGTAGGACTAGATAAGTTGTATACTTCTTCCTACTCCTTTGAACATATAACTGTGATGATGTTTGTATTACTTACTTTTACTTTTATTTTCCTTTCATAATTTTTGTTTGCATTTTGTCATGGTATTGTATGTTTTATATATGTTCAATAAACAAACAAACAAACAAACAAACAAATTGCTGATACTCTCCTTATTTGACTGTTGCCAGGTAAATTTGTTGGTGAAAAAACACACACACACACACACACACACACACACACACACACACACACACACACACACACACACAGAATGTTGGAACCATATATGCAGGAATGTATTATTTCATACATGAAAAATATATGTAACATTTGTAAAAATATAAAAAGAACTTATTTGAGCATTTGGCCACCAGTCTGGCAATTCTTGTTCTGTAAAATTTTTGTTGACATCGCTGGCAAGAAGGTGTAAAGTTACTGTTCGCTGGCTGCTCTTCACTTTCAAGATTAGTGTGTCGTCCTGTGTCAACATCACCCGCTTCATTACCGGTCCAGGTTCTCTTTTGGAGAGACGTCACCATTTTTGAGTTCAACTGTTTTCAACATATGACTGTGAATAAATAACTTGTTTCGAATATGTTTACATTCTTTATTCTGAATTCTTCACATCCTTTTTTTCTGCCACACACTAACTCATGAGACAGGCAAGTGTCCCCAACCGGTGCACACTGGGTGATATATTACAGCCATCGGAGTATGAGTATCACAACGCGCATGACAAAAATAGAACAAAGGAGGGTACTGTGGGCTAAAATTAAGAAGAGAACAGCTTTAGAAAGTTATATTATTAAAAAAAGATGTACTATATTAAGTTTAATCAGAATAACATGTCTGGAGACAATTGACGAAATAACGTTAGGAGACGATATCGCTCCTCTGTCGCATTTCAACGTCCCCCAAATCGGACAGTTTGAGATGTACAAATATAAAATTTTTACTCTTATATTTATGCATTTCATAAATATGTTCCTTTTTTGTATTTTTGAATATTTTAAGAGTTAGTTTTTATTCACTCTTGCTAAATCTGTGTATTAGTCAGTTATTGATTACATGCTGTAGTTTTCCTTTTTTGATTCTTTGATAAGTAACAATGAACAACGGTGTCCATCGATTGTGATGTCCCAAAAGGTGATTCCAGATCATACAAAACGAATGGGTCTCGACTGTTCCAAGACATTTGTGTATGTCATTTAACAAGTGCAAAATATCACAAGAGAGAAAGCGGCCTAAAAAGAACGTTGTCAGATCCTCATCCGGCTTCTAGATTGGTTACTCAGCCGAGAGGTCAGCTGACTAAAGGCTGGGCTGACGTCCTACCGTGAGGGCTGTGAGAATTTACCGGCAGATTAATTTCTCTCAATACCGACATAAACAACTTCCCATGACACTTTCTGACCCATTTCATAACGGATTGAGAAAACCGATGATCGTTCACCCTTTAGTTGGCAACTCGGTCAAGAGTTCCTTTGCACCAGGAAAATTAGTATACATCAGGGGTGGCCAACCCGCGGCTCGCGAGCCGCATGCGCATGACAAGCGTAAAAAAAGCCTCCGCCGTGGCGCCGACATTCAAACAACGGCACTCTGAACAGCAGAACTTACAATGTCAGCCTATCATCAATTCCATTACTTGACTGACATACAGGGCAGCCAGTTAGATGACAACTGAATCACCGTGCATGCGCAAACAACGGCGCTAAGCGCTAAGCTAGTCAGCGAATTATCTCTGATTTTCAGGCAAGGGTGCCCAATACGTCAATCGCGATCGACAAGGAGCCAATGGACTGGACCCAAGTTGACGCGAGGGTTGGGATGAGGAAAGGGGTGCATGGGGGGGCGGGGGGTCTTTGTGTGTCTGTGTGTTTCGATTTCCTTCATGTTCGGTGACGTTCCGGCTGTCGCTCATCTCGGCGTGCGTGTGTGCATATGCGCACGTGTGCGTGGTTGGACGCCCGCTTGTTGCGTGCGTGTGTATATGCTTGCACGGGCGCATATGCTAGCACGTGCGCGATCAGGTCGATCGCGGGAGGTTCGTCGCTTCAAAAGTTGATCTTCGGTCAAATATGTAGCAAGCTGACCCAAGTAAGTAACCACTGCATCTCGCATACAGACAGTGACCTGTTTCAAGTGGCAACAACAGAATACAAACCAGATTTGAAGAGGATTGTTCAAGAGAAGGAATACCAAAAGTCCCTGCACTAAGGCGCTAAACAACATGCATAATAAGAGAAAGACGTGATTATATTTTTATTTGTGGATTTGGGTAAACTGAGAGTTTGCGTGTGTGAGACAGTGCACTCAATATTCATTGTTGAAAATGATTGGTCTGTGGTCTTAGTCCTGTAGGAGTCAATTTTTGTCATTATCATGTTAGTGTGTGACATTTACTCTCAATGTGGCTGAGCAGAGGTGTGTGCGTGTGCGTCTGTGTGTGTGTGGAAGGGATGTGTTGATGTTTATCAGTGCCCATGTGCATGATGTGGTTCTTTGCAGTAACACAGTAAAAAAATTGTCTCTTAGTCTCGGATTGGTTGGCCACGTCTGGTATACATACATGAGTGTAGAGGAGCCTGGCTAAGTAAGATCTGACATAAAAGAATAAGTACAGTAAACTGGATGTTTGAATAAATACTGCTCTACAGCAAGGGGACCCAAACTTTTTTGACCGAAGATCTACTTTTCAATCAACCAACCTCCCACGATCGACCCGTTACCGGGCACGCGCGCATACGCACACACGCACGCCATGATGAGCAACAGCCTGACGCTGAGGCATGCCACGCACTTATGCAGCCTGTTAACGATCGTAGCTCACGTGTACCGTTTTAAAATGCTTCTCTCGGCCCTCCAGATTCCCATTCTTTGCCCGTCCCCTCGGTGAATTGTACAAAACAAACTCGGAATGAGAATAATGACAACGATAAAAGATTAGAGCAACAACTCTGATCACAAGCTGCAATTGCAGACTGCTGAGCGCTAAAAACTTCCGGTGACGCAGTCACGCCACCGTCGGTTAAAGACTTACCTGCTTTATTTTATTTTATTTTTTAAATACTTTTTGTGAAAGTGAGACTGATAGAATGATTAGGGTGCAGTTTGCATTAACATAAAAAACATATTACTAAGATGCACAGAGACACAAATGTTTGTTTGTTTTTTTCCTCTTCACCCCTCGCGATTGACTTGGGACCAGTGCACGATCTACCGGTCGATTGCAATCGATGTAATGGGCACCCCTGCTCTACAGTATATGTACATTATTGCATTGATATGTGTTACTGTCTATATTTGCAATTAAGCAGTTTTACTTTTTGGTGTTCTGATGCCATCTAGTGGCGATTGTTGGTCGGAACAAATTATCGGGAGAAAAGTTCCACCTGACCCAAGTTGCCGTGCACATTTACTAGCGTACATTAAAGGATATGTTTTGTGAGCTCTGTATAGCCCTTTTGTTCGACGAAGAGGGTGCCGAGAACCAACTATACGGAGCAAGAAGAAGACAAACAGGATTTCGTCAAAGGTTTAGCCCCTTATGGGTTTGAGCCCATGAGGTTGTGTGTATTTTATGTTAAATCAATTGTATTCGTGGTTTGGTCTTTTATTTGGTTTGTAATGCACTTGTTTGTATGTTTCATGTTCGTGGGACCAGTTCTCATGGGTTGCCAGGAATAAAACCCTGTATTCTCAATTGGAATTCGTGTTGTCACTCATGCCACATCCTACGGCGCGTCAATTTGTGTGAATTTGTCTTTGGATCATGTTTTTCAAAAGAAATATTTAATTAAATATATTTACCTCTACAAGCCTGTAATTTGTGGTGCATGCTGAACATGCTACATTATACTTTATATTTTCATTTTTTAAAAATCTAATAAAAAGTGAATTCCAAAAAATAAATAAATAAAAAAATAATAAACAGCCAGTTGGAAAAAATATTCCTGTGCAAAGAAAATGTAAAAATTATTTTCACATACCTTAGCAGCATTGATCACTGTTGCCGTATAAGATTGTGCATTATCATCACAAGCTCCTCCTCGAGACTGGTGACATCTGATTAACTGCAAAAACAGGGTAAACAGTGACTTAATGTTTATTTCAATCATCCAGCAATCCAGGGTTTTTTCCACTGTATTCTCCTCTTGAGCTAACTTATGTAGTTGGCATTGAGGTCTGGTGACTGAGATGGCGATGGGATTCTGTGACTGTTGAACCTTTTCTACAAATTTCAGGAAGAGAATAGGCTTCTGCAATTAAAAAATATATACTTTTTTAAGGATTTTAATTATATTTATGGAGGGCACTTCCTCCCAAATCTGTCTGAGTGTGTCCTACCCAGTGATAATTTTACAGTTTACCGGCAGCGAGTCCCAGGTACTCACTGATCAGAAATGTATGAGTCCCATTATGCATTGAGAGAGTCCCAAATTTCGAATTCTGAAATGGTCTACTTATTCAATTGCAAATGATAATAAAACAAACAACAACATATACATACAATTATAAACAAATGCTGCAAAAATTTAAATAATTCAAGAGCAGGCCTGAGGATTTCGGCAATTCATGGAAACCGTTTTTCGGTTCCGTCGGATTACCCAATGGGAAACCACGGTAACTAATGTTGGGTTTCGTAAACGTTCATCATGGGAACCCATTTTTCTAGTTTGACTGATATTCATAATCAAGAATTCTGAAACTCAAAAGTATAATGTTTCAAGGGTAAATGTTTGAAAACTATACATTAACAATGAACATTACATCAGCAGCTGTGTACTCCAGGTTTATTCCAAAAAATAAATGGATCAAAAACTGGTGTACTCATGTGGCATCATCAGAGTATTTTTTCCAATCTCACACTGCAATGATTAATTTACTGGTAATCATTAATACAGGTTAAGTATTGATGTGGTTTGACATCCTCTTCCCAAGACGATGCATGTGTAATCCACTATCAATTTGACGAAAGAATTTAACACACGTCATCATTAGTTTTACCAAAAGTTAACATTAGCATTACTACACCTTGTGACGAATGTTTTATTCATAAAGTTACCATGCTACAACCAGTAAATTATAGAATAACCAAGACTGTTTCATAATATTTTTCATAGCGATTAGCCTACAAATCTCATGACCAACTTGCCTTGTAATTGTGCCTCTCGTCGTATCTCGCTCTCGTGTTCTGTGCATACATCCCAGGTGAGTTTAGTGATATGCCCTTTGGACGATTCATACGAAAAATCAAACTGGCATTCCCATTTCTTAAATGTCGTAATTAGAAGACCTTTGTGAGTTTTTTTCGCCGCCATCTCAAACTTTCATCCATGCGATTCCTGTTTGCGGACTAAAATAGCAACCTGCATGCACACATAACGTTATCTGTTGCGTCCCCCAAAACACTGAAAACAAAACAAAACGAAAGTAAATTAGTTGAAACACACTCACACACCACACCACACCACAAACACACATAGAGGCACAGTGAAATCGCGTTGATCACACAGTCAACTCGTGTGCGGTGACTTTTATGGTTAAACTATTTTTCGGTACCGTTAAAATGACGCCATGGAAACGACACGCTACCGGAAACGATTGTTACCGTGAAATCCTCAGGCTTGCCATTGTTTTTTTTTCTTTTGTTGTTGTTTTGACTGAGAAATTTCCTTGCGTCCCAAAAACACACATTATTTGGAACTGTGCGTCCCGTGGGAAAATTATGCGTCTAGGGACGCGGGACGCAGAGGTAACGAGATGGCTGCCTACCACCATGAAATACATCACTGCATTCTTAGCCATTAAAAGTCAATTTCATGGGATTAATTTGTGTTGCAGTTAAAATTGCTATTGCCAAACCATATTCTCTCAACTCAACTCAACTGTATTTATAGAGCACTTTCAAACAGCCATCGCTGCATACAAAGTGCTGTACATGGAGCAATTTCACATATACAACAAACAGTAAAGCAAATCGGCAATAAAGACGGTAGAAA